ACTTTTCCACCTATGCACACACATTTGTTCCCCAATCAAACCCATCCAAACGAAGAACCATCTTATCATAATTTGAGTGAAATACACCAACCAAGTGCTTCAGTTACTACCCAAGAAGCCAGTAGTGCCAGCATTAGTGAGCAGACACTGTCTTCTGTCTTGCATGAGTTGAACAACTTTTGAATTTTCCTTGATTGTTGTTTTTGTTCTAAAGGAGTTGTTTGTTCTTGAGAGAAATACTTTTTCCACTTGCTAACACACATGGCCAGACAATTAGTTTTGTTTCTACAGAGGGTACTGCTCATAAGTAATGGTTTACCACAGTTCAGAATAATTAAACGTTTGACAGTTCGGATATCTGAGCACTTTATAATACTTCAGTTTTATACAATTGTTTAATCTTTTAATACTGCTTTATAACCAGCTAATAATGTTTTTATTTTAAGAATGTTTCTGTTATATTCTATGAAATAAGGTTTTTTGTATTAATTTATTTTTTGATAATATGCAGTATTTTGACAAACTCTTTGACAAAACTAACCTTTCTGGGAGACAGCTCAGTTGTCAGCATGACTGAAGTGTGCATCATAAGTTAAAGTCCCAGAGATAAACAGTGTTGCTTCTGAAAGAGTTGTTTTCGCCTTATTTTTCTTTTCCTTATCATTTGCATTTGTTGACTGTGTTGTGACTTGATTTCTTTGATTTTAGTATTATGTTCTCTATTTCTATTTTGTAATAAAAACATGTTGTGCAGGATAATGAGAAGAGCAGGCAAAAGCACGCACATCGATCTCAACTGGGTGCTCGACTAAGAAACAAGTAGAAATATTTTAGATGTAAAGTCGGCAACACCAAAGCTCCAAAAATATCAAAAAATTTATTTTTTAAAAAGACTGTCGCATAGCATATATGACGTTTCGAGCACGCAGGCTCTCATACTGTAGATATCTATTAAAACAACTCTCAGTGTGAACACGTTTATTAATTACACTCTGACTGTTTATTTATGTCACACATGAACACAATTCATTACTTTCTACAGGACCTTTGAGAAACATCACTTCACTAGAGAATGAAGACTCTAAAGAGGTGTTTTCATCGAATGTCTCGATGTGGGCTTGTCCAGCGTCCAAAGTGGAGTGAAGATTAACTTGTGCTTGCTGTTGTGTCTTGCTATGTGTTTTCAACAGAACAAAAAGACAAGGAAAACACTTTTACATGGGTCTGCAACCATATTTTAAAAAGCACATTAATAATAAAACAATGGTACAAATAATCTGAGTTCACTTTTTTTAGATTCCTGTCAATGCAACAACTAATATAATCCATATTGTAACAGAAAGAAAAGACTGTGTAATAGTGTATCTATTGACTAGTGAGGATATTTTATATCTTTATTGATTATATTGAGAAGACCTGTGGATCTCACACTTACAGACTGATTCTCATATTCAGAAGATCCCGGCTGGTGAACAGCAGGTGTGGGATGGACACACTACGTGACAAATACATTGATTATTTGAAAAATGAACTCGCTTTTGACAGCAAAAACTCTTTTGCACATGTATTTTTGATATTTCACTTACTGTGAGTGTGTCGTATACGCCAGTAGATCTGGACTTGAGGTCTAGAGCCGTATATGTGCTTACACTGGGATCATCGTTCTACAGGAAAAGAGGGAGAATATATAAAAACTAATTTTATTATTTTATTGATTTTATGCTGTGGTTCTTTGAGCATCTCACCTCATACTCGTGTATTGTAGATCTTCTCTTTATCCTTTTTCTGTCAAAAAAGGAAACACAAGTTTTTCATTGTTTCATATATAATTAATAGTCAAATATCTTTTATTCATTAGTTTGAAAGTAAATTATGTTTATATAATCTTGTTTTGTTTTTTTACATTATACATATTATAATGATGATGATGATGATGATGATAATGATGATGAATAATCCTCCAGATGTTGCTGCGATCACAATAACATTCATACCAGCACCATGATGAACTGAAAGCAAAAGATCACCATAATTAACAAACTGATGAATGATTCTGGACTTGCACTTGTATTCTCCACTGTGATCAGAGCTGATGTTTGAGATGCTGTAGATTCTTCCAGATCCTACAAACCTTCCTCCTTTAAACCAGCTGATTTCTGCAGGAGGGTTTGAATCACTGCTGCAGCTCAGAGTCACTGAATCCCCCTCCACTATTTCACCAGATCCAGTTATGAACACTGAGACACTCCTGGGAGGATCTGAAAAAAAAAAGAAAAAAAAATGAAAATTATTTATTGACAAGGCCTGTTAAAATGTGTAAAAATTATGAGTATGAACTGAAATGATCTAAAATCAGCATAATAGACTCACACATGATGTTTAAAGTCACAGCATCAGAGTATTTCTCTCCATGTTCATTTCTGGACTTGCACTTGTATTCTTCACTGTGATCAGAGCTGATGTTTGAGATGCTGTAGATTCTTCCAGATCCTACAAACCTTCCTCCTTTAAACCAGCTGATTTCTGCAGGAGGGTTTGAATCACTGCTGCAGCTCAGAGTCACTGCTTCTGTGTCACATGACTCAGTCTGATGGTGCAGTTCTGCTGTTTGTCTCCCAGATACTGAAGCCTCTGACTGTATTCAGGATCCTCAGACAGATCTGGAAACTCTTCATGTTTCTCTTTAACTTGTGTTTTGGTCCAAAATGCTTCTATGATCTGATATCCAGTAGGGTATCTAAAAGTGCAGCTCATTGTCACTGTTGACCCCTTCAGTGCACAGATGTGTGAATGTCTGTAACTCACATCCCAACCATACTGGCCATAAACACCTGGAACACACATTAAAGGAATCGTTCACCCAAAATGAATCTTTTTTCACAAATTCCAAGTTGTCTCAAACTTTAAGGCTGTCATAAAATACATTAATTTTAATTAAACATGTTAGACTCTCGTGTATTGTAGATCTTCTCTTTATCCTTTTTCTGTCAAAAAAGGAAACACAAGTTTTTCATTGTTTCATATATAATTAATAGTCAAATATCTTTTATTCATTAGTTAGTTTGAAAATTATGTTTATATAATCTTGTTTTGTTTTTTTACATTATACATATTATAATGATGATGATGATGATGATGATAATGATGATGAATAATCCTCCAGATGTTGCTGCGATCACAATCACA